CAGAAAATATGTCGAAGACAATTCTAGTCAATTTGTGTTTTCAGTACTTTTTTATCCGAAGCAACTACAAGTATTAACAAATCCAAATTGTTGGACATGAACTCTCCACCAGCATAGGACTGCTGAAAACAGACTCAAAAACGTTCAACAATTGTTGTGTACTATCAGTTCATGAACACTAAAGATGAAATGACACTGAAAATAGGCAAGACATTTGACCGTAACCAGTCCAACATGACCCACTGAGCTAAAATGTGCTTGCTAAATAATTTAAGCGTTTGAAAGGGAGATGTGTATAAAATTCATTCTTGACAGTGACAGGGAGATGTCCATAAAATTTAAATGTTTAGCTCGGAAAGGGAGACGTGATTATGATAGCCTACAATACGTAAATAAAATAACAGTAACTAACGGCTGTCATACTACGTATGCGCATACCTTATATCGCCCTACTTTAACTTCCTTGATAAACTATGCAACCCGCTCACTCAACGTACATGAATCGTCTCACACTCACACTGTTCACAATCTGTATCATGTCATTATAGTATCGATTTATCAATTGTAGCTAGCTACGGTGTTTTCTTTTCTAGTGGTATTTTTTCTCCTCATCTTTATCTTTCTTTTTTTTCTAGTATCTCTAAGTAGTCTTGGGTTGTTTTTGTTTTGGAAAGTGTTTTACGGCGCTCTCAACTGCATAAGGCCATATGAGCCCGCGGGATACATTAAAAACATTTTCAATTCAGTAGGAATTATTTTTTAATTTTGCTCGGGTGGCGACCGAGGCCTATCGATTTTGGACTATCAGGGATCCTTAACGTGCGCAACTTGCACATGGGACCTCCGACATGTTTCGCACTTATCTGAGAAGGCTAGACTAATCTAAGATCTTACCTACCCTAAGATCAGGGGTGTGGCTGAAAAACGGAAGGAGTAGCAGTTGAAAGGCTGCAGAAAGAGTGAGGAAAAAAGAGGAAGGAGCAAAGAAAAAAGAGGAAGGAGCAAAGAAGGGGGGGGGGGGGGCAGAAAGTGGAAACGAAAGCAGACGACAGAACATGGTTAAAGTTAGAGAGCAGGAAAGGGGGTGAAAGGAGAAACATTTACAATGGAGTCCACTTATAACGAGTCCTGAAACAACGAGAAGTCTGTTATAAAGACACTATTCTAAAACCCCGTTTTTCCCCCTTCTTTATCTTTGTAAATAAAATACTGCTATAGCGCCATCAGACAAACACAGGAGTCGGTTATAGCGGAATATTGCTGCTGCTGTGCACAGCGCACAGGCCAGTTATAATATAAACCTCGCCAATTGAGAAACTTGTTGGTGGTCTAGCGAAACCTAGGAGCTTACGTCAACTCCTTGACTCCTTGAGCGAAACAAAGAATAGGAGAGCCCACGCTTGCCAACAATGAAGGCCGTAGCGAATGAGTGGGGAGGGTGTGGTAAGCGCAGACAAGCAGAATGCATCGTGTGATAGGCCAGCCTAGTCTAGATTATCTAGGTCTACCACTACCCATGCCCTCACTTCTCCGATGCGGGGATAGAGAGGTGACAATGCTGTGATGGATGGAGTGAATGTGTAGTAGGCCTACATGTAACGTGCGCAAGCAGACGAAACACACCACGGGGTGTGGTGGGGTGGGGTGGGGTGGGGGACAACACAGCGGGCGAGTTAGCCCAGAGCGCATTCTTTCTGATCGCCAACGCGTGCTATCAACATCGCTAGCGCTAGAGGCTAGACTAGAGAAAGAAACCCGATTCGATTTTTGATCAAGTAAAACCTAGAGGTCATGTTGAACAATGTTCATCATCAGGGGAGATAACAAAAAGAAATAAACAGAACACCAAACTCAAAGATTAGGCCTACTTTATTATTTCCGTTGAATTTATTACTGGATTCCTTATAACGAGAATCCTGGTATAACGGACATTTCGCACCGGTCCCCTCCCTCTCGTTATAACAGGATTCCACTGTAGTTAGTTAGTTAGTTTTAGTAGAGGTTTTACGGCACTCGCAACTGCACAAGGTCATATGAGCGCCAGAAGATTAGAAGTGTTACAAGAGAGTAACAAACATAAAAAAGAAGAAGGGTAGATAAGGACGATAGATGTTTGATAGGAAAGAAGGAGCATACCACACCAGAGCACCCGCCAACCACCCACTAGAAACATTTAGCAGAGAAGAAAATTGTCCGTCGCTGTTAGGTTTCGACGAACCCAGGACCTTTTGAATGAGACCGAGAGGCAAAAACCACAACCTCTAGACCACGAAAAACCCCTATCTTGAATCTTAGTCTCATGGAGGTTGACTATAATTTAAGATGTACGGGTATCCAGGTCGGAAAAAAAAAAAAAAAGCTGTTGGTCATTCTGTGTACAACATAGAGGAAGAAGTGAAGAAGTCTGTGGCAATATAATTTATTCACTCCTTACAATATTCTTTTTAAAAGAAACAGCTCAGCCGAGTACATAATAATCAACTTCCCATGGTACTGGAACCGAAGAGTCACAGCCTTTCATTACACAATAATCTTTATAATAAGTGGAATTTAATACATTCACCTAATGCGAGAGATGTACGTAATTCTCATTAAATCGAAGTTGCCCATCAAAAGAAAGTATTAATCGCCCCCTCCCCAAACCAGCCTAACTTGGCTCAGTGATTATAGTGATATATTATATTATATATATATATATATATATATATATGTATATATATATATATATTAATATATGTACATATATATATATTAATATATGTACATATATTATATATTATAAATATATATATATATATATTAATATAAATATATATATATATATATTAATATATATATATATATATATATATATATATATATATATATATATATATATATAATATAGAAATATTCAATGTTTGACCCATGAGAAGATTATCTTATGTGCACAACCTTAACTATTTTATTTTGTAAAACTTTATATTAGAGAATGCAACACGATTTTTATAAAATGTCGATATATAATCTATACATATATATATATATATATATATATATATATATATATATATATATATATATATATATATATATATATGAGTGATGTTTTCTAGTTTTAGTAGAGGTTTTACGGCGCTCGCAACTGCATAAGGTCATATGAGCGCCAGAAGATTAGAGCTGTTACAAGAGAGTAACAAACATAAAAAAGATGAAGGGGAGATCAGGACGATAGATGTTTGATACGAAAGAAGAAGCAAACCACACCAGAGCACCCGCCAACCACCAGCATGAGTGATGTAGGCCTATGTCAATAATATCATAATTTACGATTTATGCTGTTGCCATGAAAGTCTCTTCTGTGAAATTTTTTTTTTTTAATGGGATGTGGACCAAACACTGAATTAACACTTACTCCCTACTTATTTAAATAAATCTAGTTAAGTCATTCGAGATTTGCAGATTAGAATCTCCTGAGAGTACCTACTATTTACTAATACTCTAATAAATTAGAAGTTGGCTCTTCCTACTCCATACAGAATTTCCTCCTGAAAGTACTGAAAGAAATGCCAGAGAAAAAGTTTAACAAAAGACCCATTCGTTCAACTAAATCTTTTGCCAATAATTTTGGATGTGTGAGAATGTTAGTTTTAGTAAGCATTTTATGGCACTTGCCACACAATAAGGATATAAAGTGTCGAAGATTAGAGATGTTACAAGAGGGTAACAAATACATAAAGAAGGAGGAGAGATAAAGACAATAATTGTGACAGGAAAGAAGCAGCAAACCAAGTGTGTGAGAATGTGTGGGAGCCTGGGAGTGGGAGTTGTTTGTGTGTGTGTTTTTTAGTTCAGTAAGAGTTTTACAGTACTTGTAACACAATAATCTCACATAGGTGCCGAAGATTAAAGTAAGGTGTCACAGGAGAGCGACATAACACAAAAAAGGATGAGGAGGGATAAAGATGAAAGATGTTTCAAAGGAATAAAGGAGCAAATCATACCAGAGCACCTGCTAACCACTCACTTGAGTGTGTGTGTGTGTGTGTGTGTGTGTGTGTGTGTGTGTGTGTGTGTGTGTGTGTGTGTGTGTGTGTGTGTGTGTGTGTGTGTGTGTGTGTGTGTGTGTGTGTTTCAGTTTTAGTTTAGTAAGGGGTTTTACGGCGCTCGCAACTATTGCATAAGGTAACAATAATATGAGCGTGCGAAACACAGTCACAGTATGGCTGGGCTCAGGTCAGCAGTTACAGGTCTTAAAATGTTAAAATATATTTAAAATTCGGTGTAAATATAGAATCTATATTTTCAATCTAAAACAACTTTCCTAAATAGCATTAAAATTTTTAATAATTCAATTTCACTCTTGTGAGCTGTAGGGTGTGGGCGTAAGAATAAGATACAAGATCAGCTAGACTGATATCTTGGCTGGACAACCCCTTTTCACGTAATTTGTGGGATTTGCAACCAGATATAATAAGTTGCGATCTGATTTCTGTGTCTGGGTCATGGAACTGGCATGTGACTGACAGTTGTTCGGCATAGAACTCGTCTATGTTGTCATTTGATTTGTATGGTGTGTCGAAAGACGTATAGATCTCTGAAATTCTCTGTTGCTCTGTGGGCTGAAATGGTTACTGATGGCATCACATAGTTTTCGAAAGTGTGTTTCGTTCTGATTCGGTGTTCTGTTACTTATTCAACCGTGAAAGTATCGACAATGTCGTTCAGCTCATCGTCGGCGAATGTGAGCAACAGGGCTTTTTGTCTTTCCTCGGATTCGATTCCATAACCAACAAACATGTTTTTGAGTCTGGAGACCCATTTCTGCCATCGCACTGCACGACCTGGCGATGCACAGTCAAAGTTGGGGTAAGCTGGTAGGGCGGCTGCCATTCTGTTTCGATTGGGTCGAAGTGTGTTATTCAATGAAATACACGATAAAAAATACCTGCGGGGCGGTACCCACTCGTCGCTAATGTGGTGTTTGTTGTTACATGGAATCATACAGGATAGCAGATGGGTTTGATTAGAAAAAATGTATTTGCTTCAATGACATGATCATGGATGATCAACAACAATAATAAAAATGGAAGTAGAGAGAGAGCTTCCTGTAAACCCAAGTAAGGGACGTAACTCAATCAGACAAATGATGTAATTCTATATTTAGAACATTACAACAAACAACCCAAGACGGAATAAGACAAGACGAGACAACAACCCTATTTCCGGTCCTAGATGACGCCCCCTAGAAACAGTAGATGCGCGTTGAGAGCGTAAACAAACGCCGGACGACAAGAAGAAAGCGCGCGCCGTTTAATTCGACAGCTGCGATTCCCACGTTAGTAGCAGTTTCGCCATGTCTGTCTTTTTTAAAGTGGAGTGGTTAGAAATTATTTCTAACTTTGTTTGTATACATTTTTAACTTAGTAAATGAGTTGATAATTAATATTTTGCTATGGAAAACGGCAGTGAAGTGAATGTGTTCAATGCCAACATGGAAGTAGGACTAGATCTAGAATCTAGATCTAGGCCTAGGTGCAAATAAAACTGTAGATCTAGTCGATCTTCCACTTCAGCCTAAAGGTAAAAGAAAAAAGACAAGCCAGTGGTGCTCTGCAGTGAACTGTTCAGACGCACGATATAATAGACCAGATCTTTCGTTTTTTCGGTTTCCTAAGGATAAGGTGAGGTGCCAGAAGTGGGTGGTAAACTGCCGAAGAAAGGATTTGTTGGGCAGGTCATCAGAGTGTCTCTTTTCTAGTAACGTTCTTTGTTCTGAACACTTTGAGGACTCACAGTTCGCCACTGCGAAAAAAAAAATCAGCTGAAGCGTGACAGTACAGCAATACCAACGCGTTTCAACGTGCCCAATCCTCCACCTACTATAGAAGGAAATAATACCACCCCCAAGAAAAAGGACTATTGTGCTTACAAAATATTCGAGCTCATGAACAAAATGGGAGGAAATTTCTCAACCTCAAATACCAGTTTTACAGGTAAAAAAAAATATTTTCAAGAAAAACTTTGTACATTTAGAAATTAGATCTAGATCTAGATTCTAGTTTTTAAAAGTATTTATACATAGATTTAAACAAAAATATTAATATCACCCAATCACTAGAGTCTACATTATTATGTTTGTTAACAATTAACATCCTACAATTTTTAAAAGATGCTTAATTTCATTTGGTAAATCAAAATGTGATAGAAAGAATGTTACTGTAAGGGCTAAAGGGGGCAAGCTGTTAAATCAGTATAGACGGTATGCTTTAGGAGAAGCATGATACAATGAAAAATGAAAGCGCATGGCTTTTGTCTGTGGTCCTCCATTTCTTTCCTTTCATTTGTGTCATGTCTAGCTGTTTTGATCAGTTCTATTTCTTTCTTTGAATGTAGATTTGATGTAGCTTTTCTTGGGCTTGCTTTTAGATTTTTATTCTTTTCTTCTGTGACACAATTTTCTTCTTCAACTGTCTTATTGTTTCATGCTCTATCTCCACAGATCTAGTGGGCTGGGTAGCCTAATAGAAATAGAATAATTGTACTTGATACAACACTGTGGGCCACTTACATCATGGCAAATACATACAAGTATGCAATAAATAAGCCACAAAAGCTACAGACAAGTATATTTCAAGGCACAAATTCATGTTCTTTGTCAGATACAATAAGATCATTTGATCAACATATTATGGCCAGCATACACATGCATCACATTCAGTCACACAGCATAAATTAGGTTCTAAGTGGTAGATTATAAAATAAAGAGGATTTGTAGAATTTTTTTCCATATGTTTTTCTTTAATTTATGTGTATTATTATCATTATTAGGCTATTGGTTTTTAAAAATTGTTCTTCATGTTTAATTTCTTACTAATATTAATAATTGATACAATTACATAATAAAGGAAAGAGTATTCCAGAATTTAACATAGTAGGCCTACTGCCGAAACTGTATCTCCAGCAATGTAACGGTGAGTAAACAAGATTCTTCATTTGAGCCTTCGCCCACACTAGATATATTAATATAGTATATAGATCTAGTAAAAGTATTATAGTTTGTCGAACTGTACGCTCTTTGGCTTTTGGGGCGCAGTATTAGCCTAGATCTGATCTAGATCTAGATCTAAATCTAGTCTAGATTCTAGATCTAGATCTATCACTCATTATAATGTAATTCTGTCTATCATATCTATCTATCTATCCAGATTATCTATCAATCTATCTACCTATCTATCTATCTATCTATCTATATCGCTCTCTCACAGGGCTAAATTATAGTACTAGTGCGTGCAACAGAACTGTCGAAGTTGATCAGCAGTACGGTATCCAATGTAAACTATCACCAGCCCAGCGAGTTATACGCGCAGCTGGCAAAGTGGGAGAGGTCTGCGCTTGTCACATGACGTAAAGAAGAGTTGTCTCGTCTTGTCTTATTCCGTCTTGGAAACAACGAAAGAATTTTGATACAACTAGTACACCAACCCGTTCATAGAACGGGGCAAGACAATAGTCGGCTTGGCTCTAGATCTAGTCACGTTTTGGTTTAAACTTCGCTCGGCTCTGGTCATGTTTTGATTTAAAACGGAAATAGAATTTGGAATCCGCTGTTCCTTTTTTTCTCCCTACATGTGAAAACAAAGCCGCTAGATCTATTTTTTTTTCTCTCTCAACGTTAAAACACACAAATGGTTATAATATTTAGTATTAATACCGTTTGTTTATGTTTATTAATTGCATTGTTGTGTTTTTCTGCTGTACACACGAATTTTTGGTCTATCCTGCGAACAACTTCGAGACTTTGCGAGACATTGGGCTCGCGGCTGTTCCATTTGTACCATTTCCTAAACTGTTTGCGGTCGGTATGATCAAAAAACTTTTTTTTAAAATACATTAATTGTTGGACTACTAAAGTATTAAAAGACACTACTTGGTGCTATTATTATTAAGGACAACTTGTGTAAATTTCCATACTTTCTGTGTTGTAGTAACTTCTGTAGCTTTGACAGACCTCCGAAAACGTTTTAGTTTTTTATAATAGATAACACCCATATTTTGTGAGGAAAAAAGCAAAACTGAACAGTAACAGAGGGAGATGAGAGGAGAGAAATAGGATCTACTAGTACTATTTTTCAGGGGTTACAAACATTCTCTGCACTGCTGATATCTCCACGCTTTTCAATTCCATGTTATTAATTCATATCACAAATATTCAATAAGTCAAATCAGTACAACTACACAAATATAATGAAACAAATCACTGAATACAGCGATGCATTCAACCAGTGGGCACTTTGTTCTCAATAGTCACAGATAAAATCTGGGGATTCTGATGTCCATGGTTCTGATACTGTTGAGACTGGTCCATAACCGGCAGCTGGATGACCCAGTTTGACCTCTCAGAGCTATCCACAGCCTGTACTATAGGGGCATCCGCAGAGATGGGCAGGTCAGACACTGAGGGAAAGTCAGAGATGTTCTCAGCCCAAGAAAGAGGGAAACTGGGCAAGGCTACGTGGTCCTGAGCCTGCGGTTGCTGTTGGTGCTGAAGATTTGATGACAGCTGTGGCAATGAATGTTGCTGTTGTTGCAGGGTCACAGTTGAAGGTGTCTGTGCAGAGAGCATTTGCTCTGGGTGTAAGTGTTGCTGGGACGGAAGAAGCTTAATCTGTTCATTGTCTGCTATGGTGATATAGTTCACTAGATTGTTGGTGCCACTACTGTCAGGCGCTGCACCTCTCAGGCCAGTCACAATGTGCAACATCTCTTCCTCAGAAATGCTAGACAGCTGCTGCTGTTGTTGCTGTTGAAGGTTTGACTTATTTCCTGAAGTACTCACAGTTTGTTCTTGGCTCACTATCACTGGAGTTATGGTCTGAGCTATACTGCTGGCATTGGCGTAAGAGTGATCTGGTTTTACAGGTTGTGCTGGCCTCTGACTTGTGCACACCGGCACAGAGGAAAAGATTCCTGGTGTATTGTTCATTATGTTCATCTCATCACAAGGCTCCGATTTCAGTGCAGATGCCTTATCTTGTGAAGACGAGTCTTTGACAACAGTCCATTGTACAGGTTTAGAAGTACTCATGTTCTGCCCTGCAACCACTATACTAGTTCCATTCACAGAAATAAAGTTCAACACACTGGCACTAGAAGCAGAAGCTATATCTGGGCCTGATAAAGTGGATAAATTACTTAAGACGTCTGACATTTGCACACCTTGAAGAAGTGAGAGCTGTTGTTGCTGCTGTGTTTGTGATAACTGAGGCTGGGGCTGTGGAGGTTGTGACTGTTGTTGTTGGTTGACCAGTGGCAACCTGGGTCGTAAAGCTGGCAGCTGTCTTGACTGTAGCTGTCCTGTAGGTTTGACAAGGACCTCAGCCATTTGCTGCTGTTGCTGCTGCTGCTGCTGATGCGGCTGCTGAGGGCCAGTAGTGGTGGTGGAAACTTGGGAGACAGGAATGCGGGACACTTCGTTTTGAAATCTAAATGGCACAGTTTTCATATTTGTGGAATAGAGATCTACAGATATCTCTTCTGGCTCAAAAGTAGGCATCTGAACAGGGTACACAAAAGCCGCGGCATTGGATTTTGGCATGGTTATGGATGCTTCAGCCGGGGTAGACTGTACTTTTATTAGGCTTACAGGAAACGCTTGCTGTGGCAAAGGGCCTTGATGTATGGCCTGGGAGTGCAGCTGCTGTTGCTGTTGCTGCTGCAGCTCCTGTTGAGGCTGCACTTGTTGAGGCTGCATCACCTCCATGGTCAACAGACTCTGTGATGATTGAGGGGGCTTTTCCTTTACCTTCTGCATCTGAAGCTGTAAGTGTTTCTGGTGAGACTGTCTATCTATTGTTGGTGCTACATTTCCATGAGATTCAGACAATTTTGTGCTATCGTCTTTCGTTTTCATTACAGCTTTTAAATCATCCTTTAGATCCTTAATTTTACAGAGGCCATTGCTACTCAGTAAAGATTTTTCCTGTTTATCAGAAGAGTCCTTCTCCAAAATTCCATTAGGGTGAGCAGTTCTGACGTGATAATCCATGAACTCTTGCTTCTTGAACACCAATAGGCATTCCTCACAGCCAAATGGGTGGGTTTTCCGCTGAATTTCATAAAACTCTTTCTTGTGGTTTGTTGCATAATGTCTCACCAAGTGATCTTTCCTCACAAATGTCTGAGAACATCTCTCACAAAGAAAAGACCTGAGGAAACAAAAAAGTATTGGTATAAAAACATGCTCCAAGAGTGGGGGAAAAAAACAAGTACAGGGTGGCACAGAAGTCGCAATACCATTTATAGATCAAATAACTGACATTGAACTAAATGAAAAATTGTTGAGGTACAAGTTCACAGTAATTGATGGGAATTTAAAAGCCTTTATTTATGAAAAATTGTATCGAGTCAGTGGCTTCCATTTTCATCCTTACACATTGATCTTTCCTCTTCGACACATTTCACATTAGGCCGGTCCCAGAAGGGCTCTGTAGGTCTGACCTGTAAGCTCGCCTAGCGCGCGCAGTGCAAAAGAAAACAATACATTATTGTGCGCTTGAGCAGCATCGCTGTGTGGTCTGTCTGTTGTCAGCTGAGCTGCATGACGCATCGGAGGTGCCATTCAACAGTGTTGTTAAACACGTCTAGCACGCAGCCTCGCTTCATGTTCATTTTCGACCAAAATTCTTCACAGGTCATCAAAATCAGCAAAAAGTTAGTATTATTAAGTGCTACACTAATTAGATATTGATGCTAGCATTACCACTTGACCACAAAATCCCAAGAAATGCACTTTATCATACATAACAATTTCCAATCGAAAGGTTGACCTAGTTTCGACTGTTTGTTTACATTCGTAGGCCTGTGTGCTCCTAGGTTAGATTCTAGATCATTATTTTTTATTGTATGGTAAGTGTTTTATGGCGCTCACAACTGTATAAGGTCATATGAGCGCGCGGCACACATTAACACTTTTCTGTCCCTTGGCGCGGTGAAAATTAGCCGTTCCAGTCACCTGCTGCATTTCTGCACCAGGCCCAAGAAGTCTGTTACAGTAGCTCTCCTGGTTGGGTGACCAGATGGGGTATTTTGTACTGCTGGCTGTGTGACTGCAAAAACTTTTTCAGCTGGTAAGAAATTTTGAATTTTGCGCTGGTGGCGGACGAAGCCTGCTTTTATCGATTGTAGACCACCGAGGGATCTTTAATGAGCGCAACTTGCACTTGGGCCCTCCGAGATTTTTCCCCCTTGTCTGAGAAGGCTAGGTGTAGATCTTTCCTACCTGAAGATCAAAAGTGTGGCTGAAAGACAGCAGTAAGAAGGAGCCAAGGAGTAGTAGTAGAACGGCTGCAGAAAGAGTCTGGAGCCCAGAGGAGGGGGAAAAGGAGGTGAAGGGGTGGGGACAGAAAGAGGAGACAAAAGCAGACGACAGAACATTGCTAGTGAGCAGGAAAGGAGGTGAAAGGAGACAATTTTGGAGAAGAAAATTTCTCGGTCCCTACCCGGCCGGATTTGAACCAGTGACCTTTGAATGAGAGGCCAACACCTTAACCACTAGGCCACGAGAGCCCCCAAATCTAGATCTAGATTCATAGTTCAGCAGTTGAAAAACAGAGGGATGTCCCTAGAAAGGTCTAGATTCTAGATATAGATAATAATTTACATCTGATTTAAAGTATTCACCTCAGAATCTATCTAGTCTATCTAAATATATATCTGGTGTGCAGTGTCCGTAGACAGATCCCGAAGCAAGGGCTAGGAAAGGATGAAAGAATATCGTACCATATGATGATGAGGAGATTGGAATTATGAAAGAAGGAAAACAGACCAAACGAGCGAGGAGACAGGATTGAAGGAGAGAATGCGTATACAACTCTCACACAGGGTTCCCACAGGTCTTTAGAAGAGTCCTTAATTTAAAGTCCTTAGTTTTTGTCAAAACCAAATTAAGGATAAAAAGTCATTAATTTTTTACACCGGGTTGTCACATCCTTGAAAGGTCCTTTAATTTGGCAATATTTGTCAAAATAAGGTCATGGAAATTGTGGATGATGTTCCATCAACGTTGTTGCATCGCATGAACTTGACAGTAAAACACGGCACACAGTAGGCCTACATAGCAAGGCAGACCCGTCGGTTGCCAGACACCACAGAAGCCAACCAACAGTGCGGGTGTGCTGACACACAGCGAGCGTGCCAGGCGCTCGCTCAGACACAGACGTACAGAGCCACTCTGGGACTGGCCTTAGGGAGTCTGGAGGACCTGTGGCCAACAGCAGCCTTCGCACTAGAGACTGGGATGTCCATTTAAAGATGAACAAGAAGAAAAAATAACACCTTCTGATATCACGCCACATCAAACTGAAAGTTTAAATGAATGAGGTTGACCTAGGTGGATCATCCCCAGAGTCTGGGACCCAAAATTCAGCTGTTTTGTTTGTCAACAAATCAATTAAGATGAAAATGAGCCTCATCTCCCAAGAACAAATCATTGAGTAACGTATTTTCTCTTGACTTCCATTGAAAACGAACAGCACAATCTTTCAAAATGATATACATGTATACCTGTCCTTGGCAACAACGTCATTGCACACCGGACAGGTCCATAAGTGCTCAGTACCACCCAGCACCAAAGCCCACAAGGTATCCATACTGATTGTTCCGGTGGCTGTCTGATTATGGCGACGTCTTTCCTTTCCGCATAATCGTTCCTTTCTTCCTTCTCCCCTCTCTATCCCCATTTCCTGCATCTTAATGATTGCGTAGGGTTCTGCTGCCTCCCTGTCTTCCTCATCCTGCAACTTTTCCTCCAGGGTCTTCAACACTTTTCCTTTGTCAAATTTCACCTCACCATCAACCACGGCACTGCCTGCCAGCCTATCAGCCTCCTCATTGCCCTTCACTCCAGAGAGCCCAGGACAGAATATCCACGTGATGGCTTTAAGTGATGAGTGTTGTATTGGGTTCATCCATACACTCTGAAGCAGCCCTTTCTCAACCCTTTGCAGGATGCTCTGGGAGTATACTACACCAGATTATAAAACAGACTATAATATTGCCACTATTTATTACAAATTTAGATTTTCGCACTGCTCTTAAGTCAGTGTGAACTCCACTTTACATAGATGTTCTAAGCATACTCGTTCTGAGCATTGATGTTCATGAGTGATATTTCTCTAATGTATGAGTTCCACCTCTTGCTGGTAGAACAGTGAATTATAACCCCCCACCCCCCAAGCCAAGTTTCCAAAATAGGTTGACAGGCAGGATCAAAGCCTGTCTCTTAAAACTTAAATGATTCAGTGTCTATAGGGGCGTAAAATACTACCTACTGATAACTGATTACAGCCTCTGAAAATCTTTTAAAAACCTACATCAGATTATGTCATCATAGGCACGTACCAGTACCTTAAACTCTGTGACTCCATGTTAACTTTGTGCCGAGCATTCCATTTTTCACCATCTATCAACAAATCGAGAAAAAATCAAAGGGAACTTAATCTCGAGGGCCGCCATGACTGGCATTAGGCTCCCTTATGAAAATGAAGTTAATCCACACAAAAAAAACATTTAAAGAAAATACGCTTTTTGTCTCTCCTGTAAAATTTGAAAAACATGACTTACCACAGTTTACTTGGTGGCCCCTGAGTCCTGATCTCTCAACAACAAAAAATTCATTTTTATCACAGCATAATTATAAACTCCTGGAGGTATTTCAACTCTGAATTCACATACGAAGTCCAATTTAGAAAGATAACATTTACGAATAGCAACATGATTGTAAATATAGAGTAGAAAAACCTTTTTTTCTTTAATCCTATCAATACGCCTGGTGTCATTTTGTACCCCAGGGGTTGTATTCCTCACATTTTAGAATACTTCTAGTGCGAAGATCTTTTTGAAACTTTCAGTATTTCTCAAAAAATCATTTTGACAGACTGCTATGCAAAGCGTACCGATCGAATTAATGAGTAAATTTTGTCTTTGGAAAATGGGGGCACAGAGTTCCCCACGTCGTATGGGTACGATAGTAAAACACGACGTACGGATAGGGTTAAAATAAAAAAATACTTTTTTATCTGCTACCTGTACAAGTAAGTGTGAATCGCAGGGGGGAAAAATTACTTACCTTTCTTTTGTATGGGTTACCATGTGCCTTTTTATCCCTTTTGAATTTGAAAAAGACTTGTCACAATAACCACACTTGTGACTGCGCTCTACTTCCTTCTGTGGTTTGTAGCGATTATGGGTGTTCACATGAGACAAGAGGTCATCTCTTGAATTAAATTTCTTTTCACAAATGAGGCATGTCAAGCTGGTGCCGTCTTGAGCTGCATGCTTTGCCATGTGAAATGTGAGGGTAAACCTAGGGCAGTGAAGATAAACAAAAATAAAAGTCAACAAAAACAGTCTTGTAGTAAAAATCTCCATTTCATTTTCAATGAAGATTTTGCTTTCGTGTGCTCATGTATTGCGGAACTTGGGTTTTTTTAAACCCATATGGTCCACCAAAACAATAAGTGCTTGAGTTGCCTAAGAAAACAAAATAATTTTTTCACACCTTAGAACTAGTCAAAAACTGCAAAAATAAACTTTATTTTACATCAATCATTACTCAATTATTTTGAATAAAATTATTACAGAGCTGGAAATTTTGCCCGACAAATAATTGATCTGGTTTAAAATCAATTTCACACTTCACAAAATATATATAATATGACAATGACAATCTTTATTCATCTCGCAGGGAGAAATTTGTCTTGGTCGTTAACAATGGCAGAAGATGTTACAAAGGTTAGGAGCAACAGGCACAACAGGACAGGACATTAGTCTCTCTCTCTCTCTCTCTCTCTCTCTCTCTCCCTCCCTCCCTCCCTCCCTCCCTCCCTCCCTCCCTCCCTCCCTCCCTCTCTCTCTCTCTCTCTCTCTCTCTCTCTCTCTCTCTCTCTCTCTCTCTCTCTCTCTCTCATTTGTAGCACTGTGTGTTCAGTAATCTCACTGCAGTTGGTACGAATGAATTTCCATATCTATCTGTTCTTGCTTTTTTGGAAATGCATCGTTTACTGCGGGCTGATAGTTGAAATTCCAATGTCAGTGGGTGGCTATGGCAACTAAGCATTATTTCCACTTTTTTGGAACGTTCGTCTTGTGCAGATATTCAAAGTTACTTAGGTCTCTACCAGAAACACACTTAAAATTTCTGACAACAAAAAGTTTTACCTAAAAAAAAAGTCACAAAGCAGAATAAAAGCAGATGAAAAAGTATTCTTATCATTGTCATCAATTTCTAAACAACTTTTGAAATCACTGAAATGCTTAACAGCAGAAACTAAATACCCCATCTCTGCATACATAATATATAGTACTGAAGGCTACAACCAAGACGAAAATTGTATTTTGAAAAGTAAGCCTCAAATCTAATATCTTAATAAATAAGAAAATATTTTTCGTTTCTACTAAGCAAGACGCCATGAAATACCTCCATTACACAGCAAGAGAGAATTTCTACGCTGTGTTCTAGGGCATGAAAATCACTCACTTTCATACCCTAAAAAAACTGTGCCGAGCCTGCTTGTTAGTCTATCCTAAATCCTTCCATTATAACTTCTCACACTTCCAAGCACTGATTTCTTCTTCAACATATTCCCCTATTTCCAACTTGCCATTCATCCCAAATGCAATTCACACTTACTTGTACAGGTAGCTTTTTCCACAGATCTGACACGTGTACATTTTGCGATTGCTGTCATGGATGTGCAGATGAATTTTTAAGTGGTCAATACGAGTGAACGTACTGGGACAAAACTTACATCTGGAGAAAGCAATAGGGTTCAAGCATTTTATTGTATTCGTAATAAACTACCAAAGAAGAAACAACTCAAATCCACTCCCACGCCCTAAATTTCTCTATTATTCTGCATTAATCTACATTTGCAAGCATGAGGTGAAAAGTTCAAGATATTTTGTTATAATATTATACTAACTAATGTACTGAGCAAACATTTTCTAATTTGCTTTACACATTTTTGAGTTGAGTTTAAAACACTTTTAATGAACACTGCCACTAATATCTGTCTGTCCCGCTCAATATCAGTCGTAAGACGCACTATGCTATTATCAGGTAAGAGGCTCGAAAGACAAAAAAGTGACTTTCAATGAAATTTTTGTTTTTTGGATATATTGAAAGTTTGATGTCTACTGCTTCAATTAAGATTTTTTTTTAAAAACTATAATCGACTATAAATATTTTACTATGATTTATTTTGGAGGTGTGTGCGGTTTGTTGTGAGCTCGGGTGAAGAGATAAAGGAATTGCTAGTGTGTAGCTGTGATATTATTTTTTAGAACCATTACCTCATGGCCATTTTGGCTTCAACCAAAGATTCTCCACTAGTGCAGAATCTTTGTTCCAACGTTCTTCATTCGCAACTATTTTTAGATTCTGATCCCTTTTCGAGCATGAATGGTCTGAAATGTAAACAACTCTGATTGGTAAAACGGAGTAAAAACGGTAACTTCTAGCTAACTTCAAGCTTGTTTACATAAACAGCTGACTGCGTGGGCGTGCCCTGCTAGCTGCTATCGTTTGTTAATCTTTCAGTTATACACTTGGATTGACTTTAAAAATTCGTTTTTATTGTATTTTAGAGCTTTTAAAAGATTAATTAACCTTCCTCTAGATCTCTCAGAGCGGACTCCTAACCAAGAGGCCACCGAAGTGGTCTATGTGCATGTGAGTGTATGTGTGTTGGTGTGTTTGTTTGTATGTGTGTGTGTGTGTGTGTGTGTGTGTGTGTGTGTGTGTGTGTGTGTGTGTACTCTCGTGTGTTTATGGTGCTATTCCAAACGTTAATCAGCTAGTGTAAACATGGCACGTAAGCCAACTCGCGGCCTTCCGAGCGTGTGGTTTCGGTGAAATGGGGGCAATTCAGATCTCTGTTTTTTTGCTCTTTTGCTATAAAACAATAAGTGCTGAACACTTTTAAAACGTTCAGATTTTCTTCATTATAATAGTGTAAGTTGTTTGAATATTCGGGTATTTGGAGCTGGAGAATCGACGCGGAAAGGGAAGCCCCTTGCGGTCGGAATGCGAGGTCCCCCGGTTCAAAATTGAGACCCATGCATTCGAATGCTTTGCAGAAAAATTGATGATTAAATACTGTCTTTTCATTGGCGGAGAACTATACAGCTTTCAGCATGGTTTACCGTGGTTATTATATTTGGCCTTTGGCGTTTAGATAGAAAACCTTGAAAAAAAAAAGTCTAAGTTTTCAAAGATCATTTTTAACACGAAATGTGTAAAATACCGGCTAAAAAGGGTACCAATAGAAAGAACAGTTCTTTTTCTATTAGAATAAAGTCATCGGCTTAGAATTATTGTGCATGAATCCTTCTGCAAAACTACCGGGCGCACTCAATATACTACAGTATTGAGCCGGCTCGCTCACCGCGAAGGCTGGTGCGGCCCTGGCCTAGACAGACCATCATGTTTGAGGCAATAAAATACTGATTTGTAATGATCTCAGTCTTGAAAAATATTAGGCTTCATTTCTATGTTATATTGATTGTACTGTTTTAATGGAGAGATGTTTGGTGCACTTGGTACTCTTTTACTATCTGTCAAACATGGGGTTGCTGCCAGTTAACGACTTCAGCAATATTTTATTATGTTAAATTGAAACAGCTGCCATTCTCTTAAACATTGACAGAGGTAAAAGTATCTAGCATCTGCGTTTGTCGCGGCCGCGATTTTTTAAATTTTTTGGTCAGCTAATTTCCATTTTTTCAACAAAAAACCTCAGCCGGGAAGAAAAAATAATTTAAAAACAACAACAACAACAACAAAAACGGGGAATAACATTCGTGAAAAAAAAGAAACCGAACCTCTTTACTTTTAGAAAGAAAGTTTATTTTCACTTTTGCTTCACTTCGTCTCTTTCTCACTTGTTAACACCACGTTGATTTGTAATTTTCATGTGAAGAACAGTAGGCTACATTACATACTATTTATTTATATTATTGTTTCTCTTTCATGTTTCCCTCTTTCTTTATTGTGTTTTAATTTGTAGGTGTGCTAATATTTTTAACTGCTCGTTATTGTTCTGATGTGTTGTTTTTCTATTTTTTGTGTATATATAGCGTAATGTTCTTCCTTCCTTAAAAAAAAAGGGTTATGTTAGAGCGTGTCTCCACCAAAACCGAATACTGACACTGACTGGCCCCTTGTGTGTGATTCTATAATTTACATGTTATATCCGTAACTTTTTCTTGAATTACCCGCATTTAGGGTTAAAACGGCCAGTCTATGGATAGGTTGACACACGCCCTTATTTACTAATTTTGAGGTTGTTTATTTGCTATTCAATTTTGATTTCATTCTGTGGTGAAACCTTTATTTTTCACGTTTTTACACTCTGTGTGGCTACAAATGATATTCTAGATGTTTAAAACAGAGCACAAAAAATTATAGTGTTTTAGATTAAGTTACCTCTATCAACACATTGCTATATTATGTCGTCACGGAGAGTTGAAAGCTTGAAAATTAATGGCAACTTTTTTGGCAACTTTTGCCATTTTTGTGGCAACTTTTGGCAACTTTTCGACAAAAAATGGCAACAAACGCAGATGCTAGAAGTATGGTACCAATATTCTCAGGAGACATAGGCCTTTCATATAAAAGAGATGAATTTGACATACGGCTACTTTGAAAATTTAGTGTTTGGTACCTAGTATAATGCTAATATTTTGTTGCATTTGACGTGAAGTCCATTCTCGTTAAAATTTTGTTTGGTCTATAAGTTTTTTTCTCTGAGAATGAAGAGTTTTCTACTTTTGTATGTTACCTTGTAGTGGCATAGCCAAGATAAGTGCTAATTTTCAAGTCTCTATCTCAATTCTAAGACCCCCATTGCTATGGAAACATGCTGCTCAACTTTTGAGGCCATTTTCTCCTTTCCATGTTTCCTCACATCGCACAATTAAAAGTTCTGTATTTTTGTCAAATATTGTCATATTTACTTCATTCTTGTTTTAAATTGTAGGGAAAAGGTGATAGTTTTTGAAAATTATGTTAACTCAGTTTTGAAATTTCCTTCATATGACTGATATTGACCGGCAGGGACATATATATAGTTTCTTAAATAACCTTCACTGTCTCCATCTACCTATAAATATCTCATGTGTGGTCAAGTTACTGTCTGTCAAAACTGAGCACAAGCAAGTCACACACATACATACAGACACACACACACTCACACGCACGCATGCGCGCGCATACAATATAGAAAAATAAAATACATGATGTACTCATAGAGATGGAACATCCATTAGTAAAGCCTGGTTCTAATTCAAGGCATTGTTTCAGCCTTTGATAATGATTCAAAGCATGCCATTGACACAGAAATTTATTCACTACAATTTATTAGAACTCCTACTAAATAAGACTTATTATCTCTGTAGTATGCTATAATAGTCCATTTTTAACAAATTTCAAGTCCATGAATACAACCTATCACAACGAAATCAAATATCTCTTTAAAATATGAAATGTCATTTTGATATTTGTGGTGGCGGTTGAAGTGGTAGATGTGGTGGTGGTAAGGGGTGCTGATGTTAATATTGGTGATGGAAGCTTTAGTAATGGTTATAGTAGTGGCAATAGTTCTTGTTGTAGTAACATCTTATCCCAACAAATCACAAATGCAACTGAAACCAATGACAGAAGATACAGAGACAAACAGCACCTAAACATGGGAGGGGGAAGAAGGACTAGGAGGAGAAAAACATCAACAAAAACAACAACTATGACAACAAAAATAAAAGCACAAAACATGATTCATTCAGCCAGAGCACTTACTTGTAGTTGTTAGGCTTTGTGTGAACCATCTGATGTCTCTCGAACTTGAATTTGGAGTTGAAAGCTTTGTTGCATCCAGGCCACTTGCAAGGAAAAGGCAGCGTGTTTGTATGGATGGCTTCGTGAATGAGGTGCTGCTCCCGGTTGGTAAACTGTTTGTCACAGTGCTGGCAGTTGTACGTTGGACGCCGCTTCGAAGCTATTGCATCCCGTTTTGACTCTCTTTTGGACAAACATCTTACTTTATTTTTGCTTCCCTTTGGTCTGCCTCTTCCACGCTTCGACTTTGAGTCAGAGCCACTGCCGTAAACAGAATACAATTCGTAAGCAGAAAAATTTTCAGACGTACCGAGTACTTCCATTTCAGCAATATCCACAGATTCCTTATTTGCCTCCAGTTCTTTGCCCTGTGGGTTAACACATGGGTTCATTATCTCTTCATTTGGGATATTCCCTTGTAAACCACTACCAGTACTGCAGTCCAACTCCCTCTTAAACGTTTTTGAAGCTATAGCCGATAATTCATTGTCTGGCAATTTCCGAGGACGTCCTTTCCTTCTTCTGGTTGCAAAAGATTCTTCCTCCACATCTTTAATACTTTGACACACATGATTATCTAACTGAGATGGCCGTAAAAACGTTGCATTACACCAGTTACAAGGAAACATATTAGAACAGTCTCTTGGTTCTCCTGATTTGATTGCAGTCTCAGTACTCAATACTTGACTTGCTTTTCCTTCATCTGCTTTGCTGGGCATTAAACAGTTTTGTGTGTCAGCTGCAGGTACCATCGGAAGTGAACATGTCTGTTTTGAAGTACCAGCAACTTCTGGTTTACTCAAAGTCTGTGAGCCAACAATTTTCCTGTCTGATAGAATAAAAATTTAGAATGAAAATTTGAAAGCTTATATGATTACACTATTTCATTAAAATACTTTTTGAAAGCTCATCAAAGAAAAAGACAAAACCATAAAGACTGGTATGCTCATGACAAATGGAAAGTTCTCGAAACAAATACTAAACAATAGAATAAACAAATATACCAGTGACAAGGAATATTTTGGGGGCTATCAATGTCTAGACGTTATGCCTTTCATGGTCTAGACGTTACGGTTTTCGGCTCTTAATCAATAGGTTCCGGGAAATTTTCTTCTATAAAATTTTCTCCTTTCACCTCCTTTCCTGCTCTCGATGTTCTTTTTGTCTGCTTTCGTCTCAACTTTCTGCTCCCTACCCCAAACCCTCACCTTTGCCCCCTTCTCTGGGCTCCTGACTCTTTCTGCAACCTTTCTACTACTACTCCTTGGCTCCTTCTTACAGCTGTCTTTCAGCCACACCCCTAATCTTATGGTAATTAAGACCTAACACCTAGTTTTTCAGATAAGAGCGAAAAATCTCAGAGGTCCCGGGTACAAGTTGCCCACATTAAAGATTCCTTGGTGGTCTGAAATCGATAAGAGTAGGCTTTGGCTGCCACCTGGGAAGAATTCGAAATGAATTCCTACTATGTTTAATGTGTCCTGCACGCTCATATGACCTTATGCAGTTGCAAGCATCGTAAAACACTTACATCCCCCCCCCCCAAAAAAAACCCACTATATTTCAGTCACTGTGAAAATTGTATTTATAATCAGGCCTGTTTTCTGTCAGCTAATAACAAATCAGAAGGATAAAATTACTACAGTGGAATCCTGTGATAACGAGAGGGAGGGGACCGGAGCAAAATGTCCGTTATAGCAGGATTCTCGCTATAAAGGATCCAGTAATAAGTTCAAGGAAACTGTAAAGTAGGCCTATTCTATGAGTTTGGTGTTCTGTTTTTCCTTTTGCTATCTCCCCTGATAACGATTTTGCTTCAACATGACCTCTAGGTCTTGCTTGATCAAAAATCGAATCAGGTTTCTTTCTCTAGCGCTAGATCTAGCGATGTGGCCTGACAGCTCGCCGTTGGCGATCAGAAAGGAAGGGCTCCGGGCTAACTCACCCGCTGTGTTTTCCCCCACCCCACCACACCCTGGTGCATTCTGTCTGCTTGCACACGTCACACATTCGCTCCGTCCATCACATTGCTGTAACCTCTTCATCCCCGCATCGGAGAAGTGAGAGGCATGGTAGGCCTTGATAATCTAAACTAGGCTTACGCTGGCACATCACACGATGCGGTCTGCTTGTCTGCGCATGCCACACCATCCCTACTCAGTTGCTCCGGCCTTCATTATAGACGCACATGGGCTCTCCTTTTCTTTGTTTCGCAAGATCACCAACAAATTTCTCAACTGGCGAGGTTTTGCGTTATAATGTATAATTGGCCTATGCCCTGTGCACAGCAGCAGCAATATTCCGCTATAAACGACTCTCATGTTTGTCTGACAGCGCTATAGCAATATTTTATTTACAAAGGTAAAGAGGAGAAAAAAACGGGGTTTTAGAATAATGTATTTATAACACACTTCTCGTTTTTTCCGGACTCGTTATAAGTGGACTCCACTGTAGTACATGGAGTGCAAGATCAATAACTATGGCATACCTTGTTTTAGAAACCCTCTCTTTCTGCAAGAGATATCAGGCAACAGCATTCTCTTTCCTATGGCTTTAGCATAAGCAGCTGCATACCATACTCGTAGCTCTGTACCTGCTGGAACCATCTGGACAAAAAAATAGAGAATATAAACAAACGGATAAAAGGACACATAGTTTAAAGTGCCAATGTGAAAACTTGTCTACAGCCACATCTTTTGACTTTCACAATCAGCAGTTTTAGTAGTAGTAGTAGTATGGGGTTTTACGGCGCTCGCAACTGCTAAGGTCATATGAGCGCGCGAAACACAAGTTGTTTACTTTCGCAAAAGTTCACTCCACGATTGGTTAACTAATTGACTTTAAAATGCTAAAATGTTAAAATATTTAAATTCAGTGTAAATATATTTGTGATTTAAAACAACTCTTATAAGTAACAATAAAAATTTTTAATAGTACGTTTTCATTTTACAATTTGCCATAAAGGCCAATGGCCTTCATAAAATTCCAAATTTTGCTGGGAACAACGACGGAAAAAATATCTTGCAATTTCTTGCATTTATAATATTTCCTTCGGATCTCTCCAAAGTCTAGACATTCTGTTAAGATGTGTCTAATGGTAAAATCTGTGTCACATCCGACACAGAACGGCTTCTCATCTCCCTGTAGGAGGTATTTGTGGGTCAGGGCCGTGTGTCCGATGCGCAATCGAGTAAAAATGACTTCCGTCTCTTCTGGAGAGGTCCGAAGGATTTCGCTGTTCTAGTTTGGGTTTTATTTCATATAGTTTATTATTTTTCTGGTTTTCCCAGTGGCTCTCCCACAGACTGGAGGTGTACTTTTTGACTTTATTTCTAAAGTCAGTCTGAGGGAGAGTGTTTGTCGTTGATCCCAGCAGAAGGGATGAAGCTTTCTTTGCCAGGTCGTCTACCTGCTCATTTCCCCGGATGCCCACATGGCTGGGTATCCATGCGAACATGATATTTTTTCCTGTTCCGGATAGTGTATGAATTTTCTGTTGTAACGTAACTATTTTTGGATGTAAGAGTGTGTAGTTTGTGAGTGAGGTGATGCAAGTCAGAGAATCAGAAAGGATAAGGAAAGATTTGTTAGGAGAATTTTCTACAGAGTCCAGTGCCATGTCAATGGCAGTGGCCTCCGCAGTGAAAATGGAGGCTTCAGGATGGAGTCTCCTCTGGTGTGTATTGTTGGGAGATAGGGCTGCGGTGCCCACTTCATTGTCTTTTTTGGAGCCGTCTGTGAAGATGAGCTCCGCACCAGGGTATTTATCTATTAGTTTTTTGTATTCTGCTTTAAAAGTTTTGGTGTTTGTGCTCTCTTTGTTGTGCTTGGTCAGCTGTAAGTTTACTTTTGCCTTGGTGAAGTGCCACGGAGGGAGGTCGGGGAAAAGAATTTGTTGGATGTCTTGTCTGGAAAAGTGTAAGTTTTTGAGGTCCTCAAGGATTCTGAGGCCAAAGGGTTTGATGAGTTTTTCGTTGTTTTGGAATTTGTTTATGGTTTCTGGGTTTGTTTTAAAAATGCTGTTGTGCGCTGGATTTTCCGGTGTTGAGCTCTGTTTCACTGCGTATTGTAGTGAGAGTTGTGTGCGTCTGAGTGAGAGTGGTGGTATGTTGGCCTCGGCCTGGAGGCTCTCCACCGGAGAAGTACAGAAAGCCCCCAGAGCGATGCGGAGTCCTTGGTTTTGTATTGGATCTAGTATTTTTAAGATGTGTGGTTTTGCCGATCCGTAGATTTGACAGCCGTAGTCAAGCCTGGACCGGACAAGGGAGATGTACAAGTGGAGAAGGTGTTTTGAGTCCCCGCCCCACTCCGGATGCGATAGAATTTTCAAAGCGTTTAGTGTTTTCTGGCACCTCACACAAAGGTCTTTGATGTGTGGTATGAATGTGAGTTTTTTGTTGAAAATGACGCCTGAGGAAACGAGCTTGGTCCTGGACGGGAATCCTTTCCCCGTATAGTGTCAAATCTGGCTGCAGCACACGTCTGCCTGTTCGGCAGAAGTGTACTGCAACCGTCTTTGACGGGGAGAACTTGAAACCGTTGTTGTTTGCCCACTTTTCAAGTTTGTGCAGCTGCGTTTGCAGCTGCCTTTCCATAGATCTCAAATGAGGATTTTTCTAACGGCAGCATATCAAAAAGTCGTCAACGTATAACAAGCTGTCTATGCTGTTTTGGAGGGTTTTCACTATGGAATTTATTTTAATTTCGAATAGGAGAGGAGAAAGGATGCTCCCCTGGGGGACTCCTTCCTCCTGTTGGTGGGGGTCTGAAAGGGAGGATCCGACACGAACCTGGAAGGAACGGTTCTTCAGGAAGTTGCCAATGAAGGCAGGGAGGTGACCGCGTATGCCGAGTGCGTGCAGGTCTCGAAGAATGCCGTACTTCCAGGTTGTGTCGAAGGCTTTTTCTAGGTAAAAAAAGATGGCGATCATGTGGCCTCTTTCAGCGAACGTCTCGCGTATAAAGGTCTCCAGGTGGACCAGGTGATCCAGAGTGGATCGAGTTTTCCTGAATCCGCACTGGAGACCGCTCAGCGAGCCCGTCGTTTCCAGAAACCACATGAGTCGCCTGTGAATCATTTTTTCAATCAGTTTGCAGAGACAGCTCGTTAGGGCTATAGGTCTGTAATTGGATGGGTGTGTGTGGTCTTTGTTTGATTTGGGTATTGGAATGACAGTGGCGAGACGCCAAGACTCCGGAAAGGAGTGCGACCGCCACATGTCGTTGTATGTATAGTATAAGGTTTTACGGCGCTCGCAACTGCTAAGGTCATATGAGCGCGCGAAACACAAGTTGTTCACCTCTGCGAAAGTTCACTTCACGACTGGCTAACTAATTTACTTTAAAATGCTAAAAAAGTTTAAATATTCAAATTTGGTGTAAATACATTTGTGATCTAAAACAACTTTTAAGTAACAATAAAAATTGTTAATAATATCAAATTCACTCTACAACTCGCCATAAAGGCCAATGGCCTTAATAAAATTTAAAATTCTGCTGGGAACAACGACGGAAAAAATATCCTGCAATTTCTTGCATTTATAATATTTCCTTCGGATCTCTCCAAAGTCTAGACATTCTGTTAAAATGTGTCTAATGGTAAAATCTGTGTCGCATCCGACACAGAACGGCTTCTCATCTCCCTGTAGGAGGTATTTGTGGGTCAACGCCGTGTGTCCGATGCGCAATCGAGTAAAAATGACTCCGCCCTTCCCAGGGTTAGGCCGGGGAGGGGGGTCGGAGATGTCTTCCTCCGTTGGTAGTGGGGGGAGTGGAGGGGTAGGGGGAGGTGGAGCAGACAGAGGGGGCTGGGGAGAGGGGGGAGGGAGTACCTCAATCTCCATCAGAGAGATGGGTTGTGAGGTGGAAGAAGAAGAAGAAGAAGAAGAAGAAGTAATAGAGGAGGGGTGAGGGGGAGAAGGGGGGGTGGAGGAAGAGTCCACCCCATCCTCCCCAAAAAACCCAAAGCGGTTAGTTAGTGGTACCTGGAAGGTGGGTACCACAGTTTTAGGAGGAACCTTTTTGTGTTTCGCAGTAAGTTTCTTGTTGACCGCGGGTTCTGGGGGGTCGACAGTGGAAGCACTGGTCGACTTTGTGACTGGCCGGAGTACGCTTGCGTATGACCGGCCAGGGACCGGGGTCATACCTGGTGGGCAGACAGCTTTTCGGGCTTCTTGAAAAGAGCAGCCATTTCGTGCTTTATACTCTCGGATTGCGTGTTCTTGAATCCAAGTCGGGCAATCCTTGCTGAAGGCTGTGTGCTGGCCTTGGCAATTTGGGCAGCAAGGACTAGCCTTGCATTCCTTTTCAGGATGCCCAGTCTTGCCGCAGCGAGGACACACGGCTGCACGTCGGCATCGCGACTGACTATGGCCAAACTTCTGACACTGAAAGCAGCGTAGAGGGTTCGGCACATAGGGTCGCACGTCCAAGACCAAGTATAATGCCCGAACGGTGGCTGGAGGGCGGCACGAATCAAAAGTTAGAATTATTGTGTTCGTTTCTAGCGTGGACTACCCCTGCCGAATAGTAATTCGGCGGGCTTCGACCACACCCTCACAGTTATCCACAATATCTTGGTTGGAGCAGCCCTTCAGCTCATGGCTGCGGACCACGCCCTTCGACTGGTTAAATTTCTGGTGTCGCTCGGAAACACAAGGAACACCAATGAAGGTCGTTATCTTTTCAAGTCCGGCCAGTTCTTTATCCGATGCACACTTGATGAGGAGAGCACCAGAGGACAGTTTCTGGACATTCGTAGGAATGTATCCCAGAACCTGTCTTAGAGCATCTCCTATCTTGAATACGTTTAAATCAGTCATCTTTTTCTGTGCATCGGTGCTGCGGATGGTCAAGTACGGCTGCCGCGGAAGCTCCCTGAGAGGAGGGAGGGCAGAGGCAGTCGTAAAGGTCCTTTTTCCTTTAGTAGTAGTTTGTTTGCTCAGCTCGGCGGCCGCACCCGCTTCCGCGAGCCGAGACTTTTTAATAACGTTGGGAGTTGGGGAAGGGTTTTTTGTAGTTGAAGAATCCATGTGAGTTTTTTTGGTGGTTCAACTCCGAGGCTCCCCGCCCGCCATCGAGCCTAACAAGGGGACACATTGCTCGGATGACCACAGCTGTGCCAGGGCTACCCCGGAGCTATACTCTCCACGAGAGTGCATAAAACCCTCCGGTCAAGATTGACCCAGGGCTTGATGTTGTTTCAACTCCCAACCGATTGAGTGGCATGGGCCGTGCCACCCTCCCGTCTAAGAGGAAAACCTGAAACCTGGGCCAAAGAGGTGTGTTGGTGAGGGACAGTCCGTAGACTGATCTCACCTCAACCGCCAGGTGCCCGGTTTCCCTCCGCACGGGTCGCACCTCACGGTCAACAAGGCGCCCACTCTGTGGGATGGGTGACCTCTCGTTTTGCTGCACATGAGGTCAGCGGTGGTAGGAAAGATAGAAGAAGAAAGAAAGAAGGAAGGAGAAGAGAAGGATACACCAAAGTAAGTGTCGCACACGGATCCCAGAGGGTTGGGGTCCGTGTGCGACACTCCGCCTTTGAAGGGGATGCACCTTCTGCAGACGAAGCAGTGGGTCTATTTATATCCCCCCCCCGGCCCAC